ACAAAAGCTCCTCCAATACCACCCTCGAGCCCTGAACCATCTGTAAAAATATCTAACTCTTGACATTTAAGATAAATACAATCGTAGGGTATCGAGATCCTATTACTAGGATGAATATGAGCATCATCAAAACTCTGGAAAGCATCACTTTTAATAATACAATCATTAATGTCTATATAATCAACTAAATTATTCAAGAGTAAAAACTTCTGGTAATAAAATTTATACTGGGAAGAGAGGGGTGTAATTCCAGCGAGAATACAAACCACCTCTGTAGAAACAGTTCTGAAGACTCTGGTTACTGCCAGCATCCAGCTTCTCTGCAAAGTATTTAATTTATCTCTTAACGGATCAACTTCCCTGCCCTAGCGCCCCAAGCACCTATTCCATAAAAGATTTTTGGTAAAATTACACAATTAAAAATTTTCTTCAATATTGGTGCTTTTTTATGTAAGGTCTCCGCATTAAAAGTACTCCGATAAAAATGTAATATTTTATTAATTTCTCTGTGTATAAGTTTAAAATGTTCAATAAAATTTAACTTTTCATCAATAACTACACCTAAATACCTTATATTTTTCTGAAATCTAATATTCTTCCCATCAAATTTCAATTTTGGGGCCCTAGGCTTAGCCCCTCCTCTAGGGAAAAAGAGTCCAAAAGTTTTGTCCACATTAAATGTTTTGTCCACTTCATGGACAAATACGCACTGTAACTGAAACAAGAAACTTGAGTTTCTGATAATTTGGAATTTACAGCATTTAATGATCTGTAGCAATATATTTAAGTGGACTGGATTATTTGGATTATGTAAAATCACATGGAGACTATCTGAATAAGGTGAGAGGTGCTCTTGTGGAGGACTTTTCAGCACTAGATTTTAGGGACCAGTCATTTTGACGGATTTCCGACTTCGTGAGTCAAATTACAACTTATCTCTACGGATACTCATTTTGACGGGTAAGGTAGTTTCATTGTTAATCGTAACAAACCGGTTTTTTTATGAAATTATTTCTCTGGTGACAAACGTAAAAGTAGTTACAAAGCAGATACTAAATAAAAATCATATTCAACAGAAATATCTTTCGATAACTTCTGGACTCAATATCAACGCACCGCTATAGCAAGAGGTATGTCGCGTGTGATTATTTGTCAATCGTAGGTGCCTAAAGCACAAACATAAAGCGTTAGGCTCAAGACTAAGGAGTAATCTGCAGTCGTTGAGTTCCAGCCGATGTGTCAAAACGTTTTAGAAAATGTTCAGTTACTGCGAGTACAGACGATCGAGAAGAAATTATTATATTATTCTGAGCATTAGCAATATCATTAAAATTTAGAGGAAAATACTAGCTTTACGCTAGTCTGGCGATAAATACCCCTCTTTAGTCATCATGAGTTATTCAAGAAGAAAAAGTAAATTACTGTAAAGAATAGTTAGCATCAACGAAGACTGCTCTGGTACAAGCTCTATTATCGCCGAAACTATCGAAACCTTTACAACGATAAAAACAACTTCAAATTCGTCAAATTGACGGTTATCGGTAGTTCTAGTGTTAAGATTATTTTCAAATTGAAGTTTCTAAAGTAAATAAGTTGTTTCTAAATTAATCATTTTTAAAGAAAATAAGTGGTTTCCTATACCCATCAATTTGACGGTTGCCCGTAAACATTGATATACAAAAACGTTCTTAAACCTAATCTAAGGTAAAATGACTTAAACCTAATCCTAAGGTAAAATGAATATTTACGTTACTCACAAGGAAAACATCGGAAACTTTCGTTCAGTTAGCCTAACTGCCGGGACTTGAATATGTTTAGCGATTTCACCGCTCTACCGCTCGTGGCCTAAATTTAAATCGGAATAAATCAATAAATGAGCCGAAAGTAATCTTAAAAGTCTCTTAATATTCTTGGAAATTACTGTCTCTGAAATGAAAGACTTTCTTAATGCAAAATTTATGTAGGAAATACGCAGGGGGCGGGAATTCATAGAAACTACATAAACTATAATGCAGAATTACAAAGTATGTCAAAACTACATGAAAAAAGTGAAATTATATGCATTGAAAATGCAGACAATTGAGAAACAGCAGTAGTTGAGTTAAGGTGCAGGGTTGAATATAGAACTGATATTTTTTTGTTTTATTATTATGTGCTTCGCCCTTAAACACTACACGGAAAAGGAGGGATGCCCCGTGGAGGTCTTTTTAAGGAAAATTGGCTCGTATCCACGTTACACATGGCGAAAACCACGAAAACGCCCATGCAGCCAGCCCGTTCGCCGGGACTCGAACCCCGAACTGAACTACCAGTGTTCAGCGGCTTTTATCGCTCGGCCGATGGCGGGCCTAAATTGATATTTAAGGCTGCTTTTCAACACATATAATAGAATTAAAGTTATTTTGGTACATATATATTATCCCTTCGACAGGACAAGAAGCGCGATTTAGCGCCAGTTAAGGATGACCGTGTACTTTAGAATTCTGCGGTAACGACTGGCAATCGTTGCCGAAATTTGTGCAAAATCGACCAGCGGTCGATGGGATAATACGTGAGTATCGATAATTTGTTAAAAATGTAATATTTAAAAGTTACTGGAAATAGACGAGCTTTACATACTTATGGCCTTAAAAATTCATTAAAAGCTGATTTATATAATTTTTGAAGGCCATTTTTATCTGATTGCAAATCGGATTTGTTTGCTTTTTCTTTACACTCAGTTTTCATTTAGCAAAAGTAAAATGCATGATATGTGTCCAAAAGTAGCATTTGCACTATGGAGATGGAAGAGCATTGTGTGAACGAAAGTCATTTTTTTTTGAGGCGATCAAGCTAATACGTGACCTTCGTTCCGCTCTTTACGAAGGTCACGACTGATATCGTTTAGAAATATACTCCTTTTCAGATATTGAGCATTAATTAGAAAGAATAACCTCCAGTAAACTTAAGGGTTATTGCATGGTCTGATAATTTTATTATTTAAGACATTAAAAGGAAAGGCATAATATTCCTGAAATATTAAAGTAATACAATGAATGGAAATATTTTTGTTTACATGATAGCTCATATAAGAATTCTTATATAAATTACAATACTCGACTTTTCCTCTCCCAAATATTCATGTTTAACACTTTTTCCCCTCACCCCTCTTTTTATGGATTCTCTTTGATACCTGAGCTAATTTCCATTTCTTCATAATGAATTATTGCTGTTGATAAAAAGAAATCATTTGAAAGGGTTCAGAGTATCCAATAGGCGAATCTTTATCAAAGTTTGGATTGCTGAGAGCTATTTTCAGGCCTTAATGATCAAAGGGCAACAGAACAGTTTTTAGCTCTCTGCTGAAGTAAATTCCCTAATGTAACCTGTGACGTCATGTGGTCAGGAGGTTAAGGCTAAAGGTTTTAATCTATGAACTAGATCTTTCGGTGGTTCTTTCGATGCCGCGCGTTACTAGAAGCAGGTTGTTTGCTTTCGTTTGACGAAAAGTCGGTTCGGTAAAAATGTCGAATTCTGGTGAGTAAAATGTAACCATAACAATACTTCTTTATTTGTACTGAAATGAGATGTTTTCAATATTTTAATCAATACCGAAACAAACGTCAGTTCATTAAACATTCTTGTTAACACATTAAAATGAAGTTCGAAGTTTCTTATTTTACCGGCGTAAATAATGAAGATAACTCTTCCAATTGATTTTCAGAACAAACAGCTGGCTTCGGATTTTTTCTTTACATTGGAAGCGATTAAACGTATCACTATATGTAATCTGCACATTAGGAACTGAAGATGTTGAAGGAGTCATCGACGAATATTTTTCCTGCAAAAACAGTATCTGCTTTTCTTTCTACTAAAAATTATCAAACGAACAAAATTTGCTAGTTTGAAGCAAACTTCGAAACGATAATTGTGAAATGCGTGTTGCTCACCTAAACATAAATTGAGCATTTTATCGGTAAGTTTGTCATATACAGATATCTTAGCTGCTTCTTAAATTTTTTTCTAGCTATGGAGAAAGATGATTTACGGTTAGTAAATCTCATAGAAACATGTTGAAAAATTTGCCAATATGATGCGAATAGTGGTGGATTCATCTCTTCGGAATATTTTGAATCAAGTTTCTGGACCTCTTTTTGTGTAGCAGAATCGTCAAATACCTTTGAAAAGTGTAGTTTATGTACAGCTCTGAAAGTTTCTAATAGCGCGATATTATAGATTTTAATAGGTAAATGTAGGCATTGTATTGCTAACGTAAAGACTTCTTTAATAATATTGTCTTTTAGTAAAATTCAATTAGCATCATCAAGAAAGTTATAACTATCTTTTCGCAACTAGAAAAAATTCCCCTTTTAATTAGTAAAACATCATTGTGAAAGTTATCAAGATATATTTATATATTTTTAAGCTGTCTTTTAACTAAGAGAATCAATGTGTTATTAAAATTAGCAAATTTATTAGCTAATTCCTTTGCTCTTTGAATAAAAGTATTGCTTCCAAATTTTAAACTTTTAAAAATGCAAATGAAGACATTTATCCTACAATATTGCAAGAATTAAAAATTAAATTTCACCCGCTCTCGAATTCCATTTAATTTCCTTTCCAATATTTTTACTGTTAGTTTTCTTGCTTTATTTAATTTATGTGAAATGTTATAATTTTTATTTTTACATCTGTTTCTTAAACAGTATCGCTGAATCATACGCATAATGAAGTTCACTTTTTGCTTTTGAAATTAAACCTTGGGTAGGTGTAAATGAAAACATTCTAGTGACTCTCTTGACTAGTAAATTTACTTGCATAATTATACGTTAGTTACAATGAAAACAGTATGTCAGCTCTTTTCTTACATAGCTATTTTTCATCTATTCCGTCGCAAATGGTCAAAGGGCGGAAGAAATATTTAAGCATTACAGTTTCGTGATTATTATTCGAGCATTAGTTTTTATTTCCTAAAATGTTTGATTTCTGAGACATTGAAGAATTAAAATGTTAACAATTTAGTAAATTAAAAAATTAGAGGCAGGTTTTTATAAAAAATCGATTTTTAAGCTTTCAAAAAATGTGTGTAGTTGCATGAATATTATGCAAAAAAAAATCTATTTTCGCTTTTAAAATTTCCTTCTGAAGAAATAACCTTTGACACTAATTACCTGGCGTCAAAAATTATCAAGAGAATACTTATAGCGTGTGCATTTAAGCAAAAAATGATGAAACTCATTCACGGATTTCGGGAAATAAGTTTGCTAATCAAAATGTGAAAATATAATGTTAAAGTTGCGTAAATAAATGGGATTTGCTTAAAATGTTCAGCAGTAAAAAATTTATTGTCAGGACAGGTTGCTAAATAATAGGTGGCTTACACTGCTCGTTAAAATACTTCTAGGTATGCCGTAAAATTTGGTAAATAAAACAGCATGATCTGGAATTTATTTCCCGTCAGCGTGGTAACGTTCTCACTTATCAGGGGCCGAGTGCGCAAACCTACTGAGCTCAAATAGTTCGAATCCATTTGAACGGACTGTTTGCATGGGTGTTTTTGTGGGTTTCCCCATTTATTATGTATAATATGAATGCGAATCGGTTTCCCTTTGCCTTCCACGAAGACATCTCCATAAAGCTGATAACTTACGCACGCATCCTTATAATCGATGAATTAAAAAACAGCGACAAACTGGGAAAGTGCAGAATCATCCACTGCTTCGCACGTTTCTCAAAATCGCCAATTTGAAAATAACAAGTAAAAAAATTGCACAAACTCTGTATCCATGTACACATCGACATGTTGTCACTTAAAAAAAATCCCAGAATTCCACAAACTTGGCATTGCACACTCCCTTGAATTTGTCCATCTACACATCGATTCGGCCATATACATGGGCGCGCCAAGGGTGTGGGCTCTGCTAGGATCCAACCCAACCTTTAGGAAGTCTTTCATTAAAACATCCTTCCTCTTAGTAGATAGTCCTTGCGTAGTTTGCTGTGTTCAAATTAAACAAAGAATAAATTTATGTGTGAAGATCATCCTCATTACTTTTACCTGTAATGTTAATTAAGCAATTATTTTAAGGTAAATAATCGTAGCAATAATTTGTTACATAATTCTTAAACGTCTAAATAGTCTGCTTCATAATATAACAAAGCAACTAAGATATTTTAGTAAAGTTCAACCTGGTAATATTGCGTTTTGATTTTGAATGCAATTGACCAGTTACTAAACATTGATATTCAGTTATTATAAACATTCATTTACGAATCCGTACTTAAAGGAACGATTTTTCCAGTTCATTTTTGAAAAAAAATTATGTAAAGCAGTTTTTGAACCTCTTTATTGAAGCTCATTTTCTTCTGAAGCGTATTATTCTGTAATGAAGTGCCCTTATCTGATTTCTCAAATCTCCCATTTTTTACGATTCCTTCTAAGTGCGTGAATGCATACTTTAATAAACAGTAAACTATTTAGAAAGAATTGGAAAATGTCAGTGTTGGTTAAATTCAGGGCTAATCTTTGGAATATGGTAACAGGTAGTTGGGCGACATTTTGAAGGCGATAAAGGTTACTAGCTAGGACTTTAGCAGTGTACATGGATAAAGTCAAGAGTGTGCGCAATGCCATTTTTGTGCAATTCTGGGATGTTTTTTAAGTGGAAATAGGTCGACGTGTACATGGATGATACCGTGTATGTGCAATTTTTAAAAACGCGGCAAGCAGTGGGTGATTCTGCACTTTCTCCCAATTTCGCACCTAATCTTCGTCATGATTAAGTATTTTTGTTCCATAAAAGTTCTAGTATAAGCGTAGTTCGGCTAGCAGATTGTTGGAAAAAATGTTGAGTAAAAAAAAAAAAAAGCCTTTACTTCGTGAAAACAAAATGGCGTCCAAAACAAAACTAGCAGGTTGCTGTTGGAGGGTTGTCGCCAAAATTTCGCCAAGTTACCATAATCCAAAGATTAACCAAATTCAGTTTCAATAATTAAATACCGTGTTTAAGTATGTTTCTGCCTTAAATTTTTTAATGAATTCTGACTCTCACAAATAAAGTAACAACCATGCAAAATTAGCATTTGAGCCCGCTGCTTGATTTTCAAGGCAGAATGATTGTCTGCATAATTTTTCTTAGCTTTCCCCATGTCTAACTTAATGATTCGGTTTCATCTAGAAAGTTCTGACCGGATGGATAAAAGTGGTAAATATTGGAAAACTTAACCAAGTTCGAATCCCGGCAAACGGCCTGGCTGCATGAAATTTTCGTGGTTTTCAGGATGTGTATTGCAAATACTTACTCTTGGAAGCCAGTCATTTATAGATTAGATAGTGAGGGGATATGTTCTTTTAACAGATAGCCCTCTTGGGCTTTGCCGTATTCTGGCAAACCTTCACGAGCGCAGTCTTTGATAGCCAGAGAAACTTCGAGAGTTTTGCCAAATTCTAACAGCAGGCCTACCAGGGCTGAGCGGTAACGTCGCTGAACACTGGTAGTTCGGTCCGAGGCTCGAATCCCGCGAACGGGCTGGCTGCATGGGCGTTTTCGTGGTTTTCCCCATGTGTAACGTGTATGCGAGCCAGTTTCCCTTAGAAAGTCCTCCACGAAGGCATCCCTCCCTTAAGGCAGATAGCCCTCGAGTGCTTTGCCGTAATCTAATAAAACCAAACCAAAAACCAAATTCTAACAGCACGCTCACCAGATGGATAGCCAGCTTGCTCATAAAGATTGGATTACTCAAGTTACGATAATCTGGGATTTTTAGTGCAATTAACTGAAAAATTTACTGAGTTAAAATGAATTAAAAATTATAACTTTCGTCGAGGAGCCAAGTTTCTCCAACTCTGAAAATTCGATAAAATTAACATTTTCAAAGAATGCTGAAATTATATCAACTTCTTTCTTGATCAGCTGAAACTAAGAGGAAACTAGTCTTCTAAGGAGATTCGCGTTATGCATGGAGAAGACCTCCTATGTAGCTACCTCGTTTTGCAGACAGTGTTCCATTTAAGTGCTGAGCAGCTATTGGACCGACTAGTTAAAGACACGAGATGGGTAATTCTTCCCTGGCTTTGTTTCGGGTGAACGAGTAAATTAGCTATATAGAGTATTTTAGCTCGTTCACTGGGGTTTGAGCCTAGGTCGAACTACCAGTGTTCAGTTACTTTCTCGTTTGGCAGCTGGTGGGTTGAAGATCATCTTAAAATCTGAAGGGTACAGTATCATTTATCATAGTTTACTGCATTGTATAATTGTGGTTTTGTTTTACTACTTACCGTAGATTAATATTTAAAAAGAGTATAATAGAGTTAATATTTAAAGAGTATTTGTAAGCTTGAAAGCATGAGCTTGGGCATGTCTTAATGACAAGTAAAAGCAAACTTCAAAAAATTAAGTAAAATTGAGAGACGCTATTGACAGACAGACGCTAAAATGTATGTGCGATATCTTAGTATACAGAATTAGTACTAATGCGAAGTTCAGAAGGGCAGTTCTGGCGGACTGCCGTTCTGAATTAAAATATGAAATGTGATT